AGAGATCTGGAAATACAAATAAGAAGACAATGGAGAATGGAAAGTACCCAGACGATACCTATTATTCTTTCTACCACTGGAGTCATCCCGAAGAACCTCCTAGAAAACATAAAGAAGTTGGGTCGAAATGAAAATCTATATAAGATCATGCAGAAAGCTGTGCTATTTTCGACGTCCAGATGCGTGCTAAAATTTTTGGGAGATACACCGACGTACCAAGTCACCTAGGACTCGATAACATGGAAGGAGTCCCAGCAGAGCTTAATCCTTTTGATACCGTAGGTGTCTGGGATAAGTGAATTTTCCCCTTAGAGGGAATGTGAGCCGTATGGCTAAATCTGGATAATTATGTGTTAATTCAAAATAAAGGCTTTGACACGTAGCTTTTTGAATGTTGAACAGTGACACATTCAAAGTACAAATCAGGTTACATTCAAAAGTCTTTTGAGTTAGTGAATTAAATAATAGTGCAAAGCAGAGTAATACGAGTGAAATAAACTATATTTCATGGTAATAGTATGAAAAATACGTTCACATTTCCGCACACTTTTTCCTAAATTACAGGAGTAGCAGTATTCAACGACTCTTGACATGTTTCCAAAACTGCTGCGTTACTGTAATTATTACGTTCAATATAGATATCATAGTAACTTTTGTATGCTGCCCAAATATGTTCAATGGAATTGAATTCACAATGGTAAGGGGACAGTCTTAACACATTATATCCAGAAATATGTATAACCTCATCTACTATAAATATTTTTAGTTTTTTAATCCGTGAAAGAATCCTGAGAAAATGAAATATTTTCATTGGTTAACCATTTTTTTTTAATTTTATGTCCAGCTTGGTTGTTTATTTAAAATATCCGAATGGTAATTTCAACCATTTCATAAAAATCTCCATTTCATGTTATCGTGATAATCAGCCGACTTGGATTTTGAAGTAAAAAAGATCTGCTCTTACAATAAAACTATGTTTCCACCTTCATGCAATATAATGTCTCTTTCCCTCAGTATCGGTAGGTTTTATGGATTTTACACTACCGTCCTGCCAAATCCATTTTATTCCACCTTTAACAGAAATCCACATTTCGTCTAAATAAACAAATGATACATCCACATGTGATTGAATAAATGAAATCCACATTCTTTTTTAAAATTATTAGATTTTCTTAAAAACTTGATTCTTTTGTGAACGAAACTAACTTTTTCTCACAAAGCTTTTCTATTATCTTCTATTTTGAACCAAACCCAATCTGTTTGAAAACTTTCCAGAGAATTATCCTGAAACTTCGAATGTATTTCTGCCTTTTAGTTTTTTTAACACTATCTTCATATTATTATTATCCATAATGTCTCAAATTTCAAATTTACAACTCTCGGAAGATCTTTAGGATCTTAGGGTGTGTGATTTATATTCTACGATTTCTACTTAACTATTTACACTTTTTATGATTTTCAAAACTTTGAGTTTTGTCTCATTAATACATAATGTAATAATCTAATACACAATGTAATAATATTACACACACGTTTATGTACGATTTGAATGTGTCGCAAAGGGCTTCCATTTGCTTTTTAGCAGTAAAATAAGCATACAAATTAAATATTACTTGATTTATATCTAAAACACGTTTTTACCACGAAACCATTTTCGCTTTCAATACACAAACAAACTTTTTCCAATCACAAGTACTACTATGACAAACTTAGGTATTGACAATACCATTAATTTGCAACCGGTTTGGAAGTATTGATAAAGTAAGATATTAGTTTCTCCGAATAGTCAAAAACCCGAGTACAGCAATGAGAGATTTAATAAATATCTACGCTTATGTTAATCTCACGGAGCTCACTGATTAGAACCACATTAAATTCTAGGTAATCTGGTTGTAATTATAAAGTCTTGAAACATCATCCGACTCGTTTATACAGTTCAATATATACATTTACCGGTAATCAAGTAAAGTATAAATAACACGCTCAATCTTAAACGTATTGAACAATCCCCGTACTTCCTAGGAAGAAAGATACTCACTAAGACATTGAATACAAAATCACAATATTTAACATCTACTTGAGGTCAGCCGGTGCGAAGGGTAAAGATATGCGATGCATGCCAGTCTGTACAGCAAAAATGTATTATTTTACGAAGTAAATTAAACATTATACTGTCAATATAGCCTATTATAAATATAAATTATTCAATATGAAATTTAAAATTTTTTTACACTTATGTACTTTACACAGCTTAAAGTTTAATTCACTGTTCTACTGATTAGAAAAAATAAGCACTGTATTATTTAATTTCTCTTTAATGTGGGATGCAAAGGTTTGGATGTATACTTTAAATACTATAATATTTTGCAGGTAAACATAAAATAAAAATATTTTTCAAAAATTTAAATCTTTTCATTACCTTATTAATTAATCACTGTCTTTGAGCAAAAAAGGTAAAACTGATAGGCAATATGTATTTACTGTAAATAACTTCTTATTAATACTGTAAAAAAAGATTATAACAGGATTTTTTTAATTTAGAATTTACTTGCTTCATATTTTCATTACAAGAGCAATTTACTTTTGTACTTCTTATGTTGTATAGAAAACTGGATCATGGCTGTGGAGTGTCTAGCGATACCAAAACAGTCACAAATTCGTAAAATATACTATAGATATTACACATATTTTTTTTTTATAAACGACCTTAAATTAAAGTCAAAATTATTTTGGTAGATACGAACAAGTCTATTTTTAAAAAAGTGCTAATATATTCGATATGGTGGATGGAAAAAGTATGATGGATTTTAAAAAATATACTTTAACGATAAGTACTGTAAAATCTCAAAAAGAATATATCATGTTAAAGCAATTGCTATATAAAACGCAACATCAATAATATATAAAATACTCAAAACAAGTATTCATGAAGCAGAAAAAAAAAACTAAGTAACTAATTTGAATTTAAACTAGGCAGGGTACTTCTTGAAATGACGGTTGAACGATACCACCTGACCCTGGCAACAGAGACCGATCTCTTCTTAGGAATTCATCCACGACTTTGGCAGCCTGGCGACCTTCGGCAATAGCCCATACTACAAGAGATTGACCCCTTCTGCAATCTGAAGTGAAATATCGAATTAAATATACTTAAAAGTAAATTAAATTTTTATATAACCTTTAAAGCTTTTTTTAACAACCATTAGCAAGGAAAAAAGCATAGACATATTTACCTCCAGCAGCAAAAACATTGTCTACATTAGTTTTGTAGTCCTTGGTATTAAAGTTGGATCTAGCATCCAACGTAAGCTCTAGCTGATCACCAATAGCTCTTTCCGGTCCTAAGAAGCCCATAGCTAAAAGAACCAGGTCCGCTTTAAAGATTTTTTCTGTTCCAGGTACTTGGTTCATCTGCCAACGTCCACTGTCGTCTTTGGCCCACTCCACGTTGACAGTTTTCACGCCACTAACATAGCCTTTACCGTCATCGAGAAATTCTTGTGTCATAATGCTGAACACCCTTGGATCGGAACCAAAACGAACTTTTACCTACAAAGAAAGTTTAGTTGAAAAAAAAAAATGAAAGAGGCCAATAAACAATTTTTTTATTTGTTTAAAATACAAACAAAAAAGTAACACTTAATATTTTTGTTTAACGAACATATAATGTACGCAAGAGTTTTAGTCCAATGACTATTAACTCTTAGTGAGTTTATTACTAATAACTAAAACTAAGTCTAGACATCTATTTCCTAAATGGCAAGTCAAGAAGAGTTCTAATTTTTAATCTATTTAGTTATGTGGAGTTGTCCAATAAATTTACTCGTTGGGGTGTTTCCCAGTCGTTTAAAATATTTCTCACTGCTTTTAACAATCATTTGCCTAACTGTTTCGATCTTCAAGTACCTGTAAATGTCATGCATTTGGAATGAACGACGGTGCATTCAGGAAGTGAAGGTGAAGTGATGTCACGAAGAACCTCAGATTGAAATCGTTCTAGTATTGCTATGTTGCTATCTGCTGCAGTTCTCCACAGTTCAATTCCGTATGTCCAGATGGGCCGGATGATTGCTTTATACACTAATATGTTGTTAGATAATGATGAGGTGGATTTACGGCCCAGTAACCAGTAGTGTTTTTTAGTAGTAGTGAATTTTATTCCTAATTGCTTCATCTTCATCCAGATGTGTATCCTCCATGTTAGCCTCTTGTCAAAGTGTAATCCAAAATATTTTACAGTATGATTATTGGGAATATTCTTGTTATGCATTCGGATATTTGGTGTTTCTTTGTGACGTTTAGTAAATACAAATTTAACTCATTTTGCGTCGTTAATATTTATCTTCCATTTTTTAACCCATATTTCAATTATATGTATGGTTTGTTATAATATTTCAGCCGCTTGTATGGGATCTGGGTTTTTGATCAGAATTGCAGTTTTATCTGGGAATATTGCGATTGTGGATTCTTCTTCCGTTGGGAAATCCGCTGTAAAGATTGTGTAGAGAATTGGTCCCAAGAAACTGCCTTGCGGGACCCCTGCATTTATGTTAAGGATTTTAGACACACTTTCTTCATATCTTGAATAAGATTTCTTTTTTCTAGGTATGATTTTAGTATCGTGTATAGCGATATCATCCTGGATGTCAGACCTTGTCAAATGCTTGACTAACATCCAGGAAAATGAAATTTTAAAAACTTTTATCCTGGAAGGCTGATTGTAAACCAAACTGATGATTAGGTATAATATTGTTTTTGTACGTGTTAGGTATGTATTTCAATAATAAGTTTACTTGCAATGATTTTCTCTGCTATATTAGATTAACTGGTAACTTCTATTATGCGGGCCTGTTCTTAGTATCGAATATTCCTTTTCTGCCTATTTGGGTGGATGGTTCATTTGATTGGGACTGTCTAAATATGCATACATATCGCCATCTTCATTCGCCTGTTTATTAGCGGCTGAAACACCTTTTCTAAGAGTTTTGCGTAAGCGTCTGCTTTTCCCTGGCCCAGATTTAACAATTTTAAATCTACAGTTCTGATAGGTTGAATTTGGTTTTGTGGACGATTCAGCTTATTTGGGGCCTTCATAATGAGTATCTGGGGATTACAAGGTTTTATCAAAGAGTCCCCCTTTCCAACAGGTATCATTAACGAGGTCATGAAAAATAATTACTAATCACCGGATTTTTTTCTGTTGTTTAGTTAATATTTATATAATTTAACACCCACATTGTCCTATAAATTGCGTGGTACGTTATCCTGGTCCTCCAAATAACTACACATTTAAAATTTATGAAATTAAAAATAAATTTATTTTCTGCTTACAGCTATTGGAGCTGAGTCACACTGGTACAAGTACACATACGCACAGCGTTGCTTACTTTGTGCAATGTGCAACTGTGCGTAACGAATATATAAGCCTAGGCCTTTTCATCACTTTTTTGTACGTACGTTAGTGTAAATTAGTAATACAAATAAAAACAAACTATCTGTGAACACATAATTAAGATAAAAAAAATACTAAAGAAAGTATACTTACTTATTAAAAAAACGAAAATAAAGGAAAAAAGTGCCTTAATTAGTAAATCATTTTTTTAACCGATTATTATACCTAATATCTGTACGACAGATGTGTCCTTATGGAGTACCTATGTAAGAGTGATACGCGCTATAAATCATTTAACGACAATACATATTATTGTATAAATTTTCCAAAGCTTTTATTTCTTTACAAACAATCTCGTGCTATATCTACAATATGTTATTTGACCTAAATATTATTCAGGACATACACTTGTCATTTTTACTTTTAAAATATTAAATGATGCACTCTATTGATTATAATATAGTATAATATTTTTGTCAATTAAAATTTAAATAATGAAAATGGATTGACCTAATTAATTAGAATAAAAAATTATAGATTCGTATCAAATTTCAAAACGTCAAATCATCAAAACGGAAACCGAAACGTCAAATTTTTGCATGTAAAAATATAATTATCATTAAATAAATCATAAAATAAACCCATATAAACACAATATGTAACTTAGACATGCCACAAGAAAATAGTTTCAGAACCTTTTCAAGCAATATGTTTTCATCTTAAGTTGTATAACAAATAGGAAAACGAAAACGACAATACTTATCGGACTGTCGCTACATACCTGTTTTATTGTAGGGCATTGTTTTATTTGGATGAAAAATACACTAACCTGTCACGTGATACTTTTGTCCTACAGTTACTAATAAAAAAAAAATAGTCTTGAGGTACTGACAACTTTTGAACGTATGACCAGGATACCGTATTACGCAATTTGTAGCATAATGAGGGGTTAAATGGTTGTAACAACAAAAGTTGGGCGTCTCATCAAAATGAAGCTATTCATGAAAAACTAACTTATGGTAATAAACGGCGAAAATGGGCCTGAGATCCCAGACTATTGCTATTTCATTTTTTTTTTGGTTGTTTTATTGGGATTTCTAGGTCTATTTTTTCTTGTAAGATTTCTTTGAAAATATTCCAGTCTCTTGTTTTATTCGATAGTATTCGTTAGTAACTTCTCTCATTGTTGACATTTTTCTGATGGATCTGTCATTATTGTTGCAATTATTTGTGAATGAATGATCTGACGATAGGTCTTCATTAGATTATATGTGCAGGTATTATTTTGCTATTCCTTTATAAACAAAAAACTCAAGTAAATCGGGCAGTCTATTTCGATCGGTTGTCCAGTAAATCGGTTTGTAGGTTGAGAGATATTTTAGTTGCATTTCTTCCACCACATCGTATAGGACTCTACCTCTGAACGGGGGGATAATCTTGAGCCCAGCTCTTGTGCATTGGAATTGTAGTCGCCACCCACTAAGATCCTAATAATCTAAAAATTGTTTCAAATCCATTCTTGTTAGGTTGATAATTTGGCGGACAATAAACTACTGAAATGCGTAGCGGGTCAAAATTGTCTTCTATGCAAATTGAAGCTACTGGTAGGTAAGTCTCTTTCGATTTTCGGTAGTTCGTGATGTTTTAGATTATTCCTAATTATTGTTGCTGCTCCACCTCTCGGGTTTCTTTCTGCATCAGGATGGACTGCGTTGTAGACCTTATGCGAGGTGAGTTTTATGTCTATTTTATTAGTAGCTAAGAATATTTCGATGTCTTGTCTACGGTTTAGAAGTCCATTTGCGTTCCAATGAGTTGTCTTAACTGTTGTATTTCTAGTGTCAATAGATTTATTGTTTGTTGTGGGTTTTCTATTGTTTTCTGTAAATTCAAAATGATTGTGATAAAGTAAAATTGACTGTCTTGAAGATTTTCGTTTGTTGTTGGTTGTGGAATGGTTATAGGTTGCTGGTTTTGAACCACTTGTGTACATGTGCGCTTAATTGTTGGATGCGTGTTTTCATTGTGGTTGGAGTCACTAATTGGGGCGAGCGTTTGAGGGGCTTTGTTTGTTTGTAATGATTTAACATTTTTATTTGGGTTTTCTTGCTTGTATCTCTAGATAAGCTTGGTGTTTTTTATAATTGGATGGATGGACACCTCCACATAACGTACATTTTGCTGGTTTTCCATTATTTTAATGTTTTTCGCAATTCGGTTAATCATTATTTCCAGCACATTTAACACATCTATACGGTAATGTGCATTGATTTCTTGAGTAACCGCAGTTACTCAAGAAACCAATAGTTTTGGCAAGGTTTATACTATATGATATGGGTTTTATGGGGTGCTTCCAATCGTACTTGCATGTAGGGAGTTTGTTATTCCAAAGATGTCTTGTTGTTTTCGTTACGTTTCAGATCGATAAACAATAGATTTTTGGATTGCTTGTTTTCTCTGTTATGAACACTTATAATTTTTGTAACTGTATGTCTCTCGTCAGCAAGGACTTTTTGGGTTTCCTGAATTGAAGTATATATATATATCCGGTTTTTTAGGCGTTACGCCCGTCGGTAGGGATCTATGGAGGAGTATCACCGAGCCGCAAGCCCTTATCTCTTGCCGTACTGCTCCACCATAGGCCGATCAGATCCCAGCATATCCTAGTCTAAGCCGCAGATTCATCTAGAATTTTAAACTGCTGCGTTAGACTTTTTGTTTTCCGTACACCGAGCTGGGGCTCGACCCACATCCACTGAACCATTCGACAGTGAAGCGAATGAGAGGCAGCCGCACAGCCCGCTGAGCTATCTGACCGATTGAAGTACTGTGGTGAATATTTCTTAAAACGACCCTAAAGGATTTCTCTTCAATATCTGCTGTCGTCTTTGGCCTACTCCACGTTGACAGTTTTCAAGCCACTAACATTGCCTTTACCGTCATCGAGAAATTATTTTCATAAAACTGACATTTATCTACAAGGAAAGTTTAGTAGAAAAAAGATGAAAGAGGTCAATAAACAAATAGGCAACTTATTTTTGTAATCAATATGAACAAATTGCGATATTTGTGCCAAGCAAAAACAACTTACAATGCATAAACCGATTAAAAAAATTTCAAGGCACCAAGATAAATGTAAAATTGAAATAAGAAAGCTGGTTATAAACAAGAACGATGTCATTTTTACATTATAAAAAATTCCAAATTTCCAGTGTCAATCACTCCTTCGCTATGTTTAATGTATTATGTAGTGAGCGGGCAAGCAGATTAATTTCATGATTTTAAGTTCTGTGGGTGAAAAGGGGACCTAATCTAAAAATAATGTGTAAGTAATGTTAGACGTGTGCAAAAAACTACCGGACGAACCTTATGAAAGAGTTTCATGATGACATTTTAGTTAGTTAATTGTAAGTACAAAGCATTAAAATCCTAGAGTAAAAAAGTAGAAATATCACCTCTTCATGTCCATAATCCACTCTGAAGACTCTAGGCCATTGAGGCCATGGATTGTCGTTAGATCTTTTCGGTCCAGGTTCCGGTAGAATTTCAAAAGTGGTTATCGAAGCAGCACCTTGCCTTAAAGAAGTGGCAATGCAATCACAGCCAGTATCACCACCGCCTATTATTATCACATTTTTGTCTTTGGCATGAGGCCCATCAAAATTGGCACCGAGTTGTTTCTTTTGCCAACTCTCCAGGAATTCCATTGCGAAATGAATGCCATTCAACTGACGACCTACAAAAACATTTTTATATAAAAAAATCCAAAGTTATTTTGAGAATCCCCTATTTAAAAAAATATTTGTATTTCTCTTATAGAGCATTAAAATGAGTAAGGCCTGAACTTTATCTAAATCTGAGGGAAATATTTTATTGGTCCCAGACTAATATTATTTTTTTATATTTACTACACGTAATTTCAAAAATCTGCTATAACTTACCTGGAAGTGGTAAATCTCTCGGCCATGTAGCCCCTGTCGTAAGCACAACGGCATTATACTCTTCACTTAATTCTTTTGCTGAGATATCCTTCCCTACGTTAACATTTGTCTTAAATTCGATGCCTTCGGCAGCTAAAATATCAACTCTTCTTTGGACAACTATTTTGCTTAATTTCATCGTAGGTATTCCGTATTGCAGTAGTCCCCCAACTCTATCGTTTCGTTCGAAAACAGTTACTGAATGACCGGCTTTATTAAGTTGATTTGCACACGCCAGACCAGCAGGGCCGGAGCCCACAACAGCTATACGCCGACCAGTACGATTTATTGGGATCTGGGGTACAATCCAGCCATTCTCGAACGCGTGGTCAATTATGGAGCATTCGATATTCTTAATGGTAACACTCGGTTCAGAAATACCAAGTACACACGCAGCTTCACATGGTGCTGGACACACCCGTCCTGTAAACTCGGGGAAGTTATTTGTCTGCAGCAGATGATTCAGAGCCTGTCTCCATTGATTCTGGAAAACCAGAAGGTTCCATTTCGGAATAATATTTCCCAAAGGACATCCATGACTATTGGATTGACAAAAGGGCACCCCACATTCCATACATCGGGCTGCTTGTACCCGTAAACCTTTACGCACATGATTGAAGTTGTAAATTTCGTCCCAGTCTTTCATACGCTTGTCTGGAGGTCGGTAAGGGGCCATTTCTCTCGGATATTTCATAAATCCTAAAAATTATTTACATGTGTAATTTTTGAGTTCTTTATCAGTAGAAAAATAATTTCATTATTTACAAAATATCACGAAATCAACAATTCAAACTGATTCACTGCAAAATATGTCAAAGCAGTTGAAATTGTCTATAGAAAAAACATACTCATAAGAGAATCACTAAACTTACCTCTTGTCTTATCCAGAGCCCTTTCGGCTTTCTTCTGCTCTTGAGTAGTATCTCCGATAGTATCTTCAATATCTTTTATTTTAAGTTCAACAGGTTGAGATTGAGTAATAGCAATTTCAGTTGCTTTTTGTTTTAAAGCTCTTTGATACTCATAGGGGAACACTTTAACGAATTCTTTGCGACGACTATCAAACTCGTTTATTAGTTGTTGAGCAATCAAGCTACCCGTTTCTTCTTGGAATTCTTTAAGTAGGGATTTCACCAGCTCAACGTCTTCTTTGTCTTCCAGTTTGCAAAGTTCGACCATCTCCATGTTGCATTTGGTAGAGAATTTGCCGTCGACGTCCCATACGTAAGCGATACCTCCAGACATACCGGCGGAAAAATTTCTGCCGGTAAGACCTGAAATGCGAAATTAAAAAATATATTTATAAATAGAAAAAAATATTCATAATTGAAGGGGTTAGAAGCAAAAGGGTATAAGTGCAGATTTTCCATATAAATTATATATATATATATATATATATATATATATATATATATATATATATATATATAAAGGTTCTTGAACTCCTAAGTGGAGCATACGGCTTCAGTGAAAACGCGCCATCGGGTTCTATTTTGCGCTAAGGCCTTCACCTCATTCCAAGACTTTCCTTGTTTAATAATTCCCATAAAATTAGTTATATCAAAATTATTAGTTAAAATACCAAATTATATAGTAGCATAAAGATCCAAACGAATTTAGTACATATGGTGCCATCTATTGACTAGTGAAAATTACATAAAAATAAAAATGTCGAAAACGTTGGTGGCAAACGGGTACAAACACATTTGTACCGTTTTGACTCCAAACGTTTGCGGCAAACTCTTTGGCGGTTTAGGTTATATTCATTTTATATAACAATAAAACACTAAAAACTTTAATTACTATTTAACTGGGAATAAGCCACAATTATTAAAGATAAAAATACGTTTATTGACGTTTCAATTTACACTTCGGAAATCGTTCTCAAAATACAAACAGTAAATTAAACAAATTTTGTTTTTTGTTACATAGTGAAAAATTCTTCTAATAATTTAATTTTATCTGACTCATTTATATTGACAATTCAGACATACATCATGCATTTTAAAGTAGACGACTTTAAAATGATACTGCCAATATTGTTGAGTTGCGCTCCTGGGACGACTTTACTTATAAGATAGTTCATTCGATTACATGAAATCAACTTTAACTTGAGAATATCCGTCAGAAAAAAATCATAGCATGTAATTCGTCTTTAAAAAGACAAACACATGACATTATGACAGTAACATTCTCCTGTTAGTGATTCCATAGTAAATTATGAGGGAAAAACCAGGAAATAAACCTCATAATACTATCCCGACATTGTAAGTATTTGTTCGTGAATTTGGTTTACCTTCAACAAACATCAAAATTCTGATTTTATATGTTACGTTATTTAAAAAACATAAATGAAGTATCCTCTATATGTTTACTGAGTTACTAATACTGGTATTTTCCTATTAATAACTTCCTCTTTCAATATTGGTAACCAGATCCTACTACATTCTGCCGAGGAATTTGTGACACAATTGGCCTCATTTAGCATAATTAGAGCCGCTTCTTTGATTTTTCTTTTTTTATCATCCGTTTCTTTTAGGACTACATTTGAATTATTCCACTGAACCCTATGTTTATTATCCCATGCGTGTTTACCTATTTGAGATCTATCAAATTCTCTATTTTTAATATAAGATTGATGTTCACTTATTCTAACATTTAATGGCCTTGACGATTCACCTAAATAAAACTGATCGCATTCACAAGGTATTTTATAAATGCAATTCTTTGTCCTTTGAACAAGAAATTTGATTTTTTTCTGACGGATATTCTCAAGTTAAAGTTGATTTCATGTAATCGAATGAACTATCTTATAAGTAAAGTCGTCCCAGGAGCGCAACTCAACAATATTGGCAGTATCATTTTAAAGTCATCTACTTTAAAATGCATAATGTATGTCTGAATTGTCAATATAAATGAGTCAGATAAAATTAAATTATTAGAAGAATTTTTCACTATGTAACAAAAAACAAAATTTGTTTAATTTACTGTTTGTATTTTGAGAACGATTTCCGAAGTGGAAATTGAAACGTCAATAAACGTATTTTTATCTTTAATTGTGGCTTATTCCCAGTTAAATAGTAATTAGTTTACAATGCCACAAGAAAATAGCTTCAGAACAATACTAAAAACTTTGTTTTCAAACTTCTACAAAATTTATTTTAAACTCTTATCACTACAGCTGTTTCGGCTGATTGTCTTTCTCAATTGATCTATTTTTGGCATGCGTTTACACTTTATAGTCTTTAATGAAAACAAAAACTTTAACATTGAATAACTCTATTTCTCATTTTTGTTACTTGTACCCTTATGCTTCTAACCAATTCAATTAACAAACATTGTTTTTCGTTTTCGCTTTGTTTAATAAAAGGACGTGAGTATATAGTACATATACGTACATACTACGTCTTACTCAGAGATGGTCGTAGCGCTGCAAATGCCTCAAATATGAATTGTTAACCCCAATTGTGTATTCCTATATTATTATAAAATGGCTATGTGTGTGCGTTTTTAATGAGAAATTTTTTATTTCAAGAATTGTCTATGCTAATTATATGTACATAATATGATTAGATAAGGTTTCTACATAGATAATATTTTTCGCAAAATATCTGTTCTGAATATAAAATTCTCACAAAAATAGTCATTAAATATTTATCTAGTCAAAATATTGTTTCTATCCTTATGCTTTCACCTGGGTTTTACCTCCACTCATTTCAAAGAGGTACATCGACCTTTTTTTGTGAATGGCTTAAAGGTATCGGTACAAAGGACAAGAGAACAAAAAATCTACTGACGTCAGGCAGCAGCCACTTATCTCTCAAGTCAAGTGAAAACACAAAACAAAATCATAGTCAAAAAATGGTCGTCGTAGAAGATACAAGCTCTCATAGTGTCTTATCTCTCGTTAAGCACAGTGGATAAATGTTGGTTGAAGAAGACACAAGCTCTAGTAGTGTAATCTCGGTCCGATAGTACTAAAATGATATATTAGTCGTTACTCGTTAATTATATATTTATCGCTGTTGGACAGTTACTAGTTATAGCGTACGCGATTCTGGTTTAGTATGAATTTAACAGACTTTAATGTTACTGATAACTCTAGGTAATTGTTCTCACTTTAACATGTGCATTTAACATTTTTGCATAACCACTTGAATAACAGTTACTGCTTTCATTACACTTTTTTATTTTTATTTACTTTTATCGATCAAACACAATGAAACTCAAATGTAATTATTTCGTATATGTACTCACCCAAAATCAATACGATTCCTCCGGTCATATATTCGCAACCGTGATCACCTACGCCTTCTACGACAGCTATTGCACCAGAATTTCTCACTGCAAAACGTTCTGATGCGATACCTCTCATAAAAGCTTTTCCTGTAGTCGCGCCATATAGACATACATTGCCAACAATAACGTTCAAGTGGGATTCAAATGGAGATGATTTGGGAGGGTAAATTACTATAGTTCCACCTGATAGACCCTTACCTAAAATAATAATATTATGCATATATATATATATATATATATATATATATATATATATATATATATATATATATATATATATATATATATGATGATATAATGAAGAAGATTATAAGTAAACACTTACAATGTTGGATTACTACACTTACAAAACAATAATCTTTCAGATTTGCTAGAAACTATAAAGTTACTCGACATATAGAGCAAATATCTTACTAACTACAAAGCACTAAAGCCCATTAATTTAATTGTCAGGTGAATTTAAATTTTACCGACGGCTTTATTTGGTTTTATCGTGGTGACAACCAAAAGACACTGCGTCTTGCTTGTTTAGACAATAGGAGCATCCGCACATGTGTTTATTCTATTTTTAGTGGGAGGTCGTATCTTCACAGTGCGAATTGTCGAAAAGGAATTGGTAAAAATAATATACGGGGTTCATGGAATAATTTGATCGAAGGGAGATTGTGAATGGAACATTTCTAGGAGGCATCCTATATGATAATTTTGTTGCAGTTCTGGTGTTGTTTAGAGCTATTATAACGGGTCTATTTCTGAAGAGTTTCGTAAGCTTATTAGTGATTTGTGGAAATTACGGGAGAAAAGCATATGTTGTGGCCCGTTCTGTGCTGACAGGGAATTAATCAACTGTATGTTACAAGAAATGGACACTAATTTTTCGCCATTGGGAGCTTCTGAAATAGAATGCCCGTAACTTATTAGAAAATATATACTTATTAATGATAGGCATGGGATAAGAGTTATCAATGAGAATGGATTTAGAGGGTAGATTCAGAGATTCATCTTTGTATAGCAAATGTGTCAATGTATGTACTAAATACAAGACTAAGAGCTTGTACTAGGTTATGTTTATATCTGGTTGGGTGTGCGAGTGGTAATTTAAAAAAAACGGTTGCTAGACATTTCTTTTCTGTACTACGTGGTGCCCAGTGTGTTATCCTATGTGCGAATGATTCGCATATCTAAAAAATGGATGCTATTCTCACTTTCCAATTCACATGTAAATTGGAGGTGAGGATCAAAGCTATTTTAAATTGATAACGTGTCTAAAATCTTATCAGGTGGTGTTGCTAGGATCAGGTCGTCGACATAACTCTTTACAAAGGGAACCCGGAAATATAACTTTCTGATACTCGCAATGATAAGGTCATCAAGTACAAAACTGACTAAAATGGGAGAGATGGACGATCGAAAGAGTTAAAAAAAATTGACGATAACATTTGATATTGAGTATTAAATAATTGTCGAAAATCAATTTTAATAATTCCGAGAAAGTTTCCCATGATACTAGACTATGAGGTTCTATTTCTTTCCAATGGTTCCAGTGGAATATGATTAGGCTGGAAAGTGGAAGATTTTCAAACAAAGAAACACTGAACTGGAAAGAGCTTATTATATTGATGTCATTCCTATGCTTGCGATAGAATGTCTATTAGGAGCTATACTAGATTAGTCTTTAGAGCATTTACTAACAATAAAATGGGTCGCATACTCAATTACGGTTTATGAATTTTGGACAGACAATAGAACCTGGGAACTTTGCCATTGCCATTATGAAGGGCTTTGGCTAGTTTCTTGTTAATGATTTTCGTTATTCGTTAATTTCGTATATTTTTTTTTATTTCGTATATTAATTTCGTGTATTCGTTAATTTTGTTCGTGTAGGTTGAAGTGGGATTGCGGAAAAGTGGCTGATAGTATTTATTATCATATAAGAGTTGTTGGCTTCAAATTTAAGTATTGATGTCTCATCATCAGCACTGTGGCATTACTTTTGTCACTAGTTAATACCAATACGTAATAATGAGATGTCTTCCTTTGCCTGATTGTGCTTTTAAGCAGGTTGAAAGACCCTCATTAAAAGTATGTCGTGAACTTTTTATATGTAAGTCTTTCCATACTTTTAATTTCGTATGACCCTCATTCAACCACGTTTAATCTATATTATAAAATTTTTTTCAAGACGTCTAAAATCACGAATTTTTTGTAAATATTCTCTTCGCCAAATCATCAGTTCGTCTTTCTAGATTAACAAATTTTCCGACTTCTCTTTACATACCGAAAATCCATTTCAGGTAATGTTCTTTGTTAAACCCGCATGAATATTTTATTTACAGTATCATCTGCATTAATTTCTCGTTGAATAGCCTTTAACGTGGGCATTTCATTTCTAAAATAAAATCCATGAATTCTTCGAATTATACGTTTGGTAATATCATCCCCTACAATTTTTGGTACGTCCTTTATGAATAGGTTTTTGAAGTGATTTATTACCTTGAATTATTCGGAAAACCGATACTTTCGTTTAATCACCACACAATGCCGCGACGTCCTCTATAAACTAATCTTAATTTCTTCTATATAATCACTCATAAACCGATTTAATCAATTGTTCATTCTTTCGCAGATAACCACCTCCTTTTGTGCGGTTACCCGACTGTGAGATTATGAAATACTTTTGATCATCTGATTTTAATGTTTATTTACACTATTTGCCAGGCGAGTTTTCACAATGTTGCTAATAAGTAATAAGAAATTACTTTAGAAAAACACTGTCTGCCCTCTTGACATTCCGGTATACCTGAACGACACTGATAAGCTGCATGCGGTACTAAATAATAAATTTCGCAACAAGGCGAGCTTATTTTATTCAGTTCGGACTTTATCAGATGTAACCGGCAAAAATTATAATTGTGAAATGATTTTGTGTGCTAATAAATAAATAAATATATAGCCGCTTACTATTAAGTGATTGCGAACTAAAAAAATGTTTGAAATTTAAAGAAATGGCGCGGCGTATCATATGTGAACACCCTGTGTTTAGAAATTCGATTTAGATATACATTTCTAAAAGAACGTTAACCTACTCTTTGTTTGCAGTCTTATGATTGTAAATTCACGCGATTTTAACGTTGAGAGATTAAAAAGATGAATAAATAAAAAATCTGAAATTTTGACTCATGATACTTTATACAAAGTGTATCTAGAATCTTTGTGTACATGTGAGTCACATGTAAGATAAACTTAACACTCAACGGGGTAAGTTTTTTTTTGGCCAAACATTTTTGTACGGCATTTATAACTTAGGTAGGTAATAAAAAAATATTGACCTGTGACCTAATGCCGTACAAAAATATTGGTACCAGGTGCAGGGAAATTTTTTTTATTTTCGGACAAATTTTTCCTCATTTTCGGTAATTTGACACAGCACGACATTCATACACAACGTTTTGAATCAGTATACAGATTAATTTTTTTTGTAACGCCGTACATTTTGGCTGGGACAGGGGTGAGAAATCTATTTTATCTATATTTGAACCCCCAAGCTTTATGTACGATAAGAATTGGTGGCATAGTTTCTAAAGCTGTTAATACATATATTTCTACGTGATTCATGCTGGATCAAATGACCCATTAAAATGTCCCATGGACTTGTAGTCTAATATTTACAAATATATAGGATTCATTTATTCTGTTCTTTTACTCAATCAAAATTATATTTTACGTAGGAAACGAAGTTTACTTATCTAGGTCAATTTATACATCGGCCGGAAAATAACAGAAATGCCTTTAATATATCTGCATCCAAATGCGTGAAGTTCCGAAAAAATATGCACATCCATACATCCATTTATTTGTCCACCAGAAGGAATCTTAGCGATGAGAAACAAAGTTGTTATATATTTAACGATGTATGTATTTTTTCCTTCTGTGACCAACAGACAAAGGGACGTTAGCGTTTCTTTTACACTAAAAATTGTGATGAAAAAACTTATGGAAAAATATGAAAACAACATAGGGTAAACATACCATTTATTGGACACTGCCAGTTATTGGACGTACCAATTATTTTAACTTAAAACAAGAATTCTGTATTCAGTAGTGAGCTAAGTTCTGTTCAGATGTCGCCTTGTACTATTAGTATCCATATTGACGTAAATAACATTTGATTGACGTTTCTGTTTTGCCGCCAAATGAAAAGTTCTTTGGTTATGCACCAAAAAAGACGGTTTTCTTAACCCTATTTTAAGAAACCTTAGGTGAATTTTAGTGCTCTAATTAGTGGTGAAATTGTATCACAGTGCTCCTCATAAATAAACAAGTTAGTGGTAGAGTGAAAGTAAGTATTTTAAGGTTTAATTAGCATATTTAAGTCTAGGTTATGTATTAGATGGGTGTCCAATAACTACAACTAACATATGAGTATTTTCAGTTATTGAACATCTGTCCAATAACTGCATTTTGCAAAGTTTATACAGTTTTTGTGTTTATACAGTGAAATATTCGTGCGTCTTCTCTGTTTCTGGCACTTCATTTTGGTTTCAATATTCGCAGTGTAGCCAGTTATTGGACACCTGTCCAATAACTGGTTTACAATCTGTCCTATAACTGAAACATTTATTTACACAGTTTTTTTTATGTCTCTAGTTTGCAATCATGCCCAAGAAAAATGTATATAATGCGGAATCGATGGAAGCTGCACTAAATGAAGTTAAAAATAACAATATGTCATACAGAAATGCGGCAAAAAAATACGGTGTACCTAAATCGACGCTGGAATTTAAAATCAAAAATCCTGGTCATAGAGACACATGCGGTCCAAATCCAATTCTTTCGGCAAGAGAAGAGTTTGATCTTGAAAGGTAAAGTTTATTTAATTAGGTAAGATGTTTAACTGTTAAATGACATTTTATTTTTGCAGATGGATAGAAGATCTGGCAACAAAAGGATTTCCTAGGAAACGAGAGGAAATTTTAAATAGTGTTCAAATATTTTTAACTGAAAATCCACGGCCTAATCCATTTAAAAACAACAGACCTGGTGATAGTTGGTTAAAGGTAATAGGTAATAAAGGATATTTGTAAAATAGAGGTGACTAAAATTGCACTTTATATTTTAGGCTTTCCTAAAAAGACATCCAACAACTGTGCAGCGAACAAGTGAAGCAGTAAGTGGTGCAAGCGCTTGTGTTTCGGAAGCAGACATTCGAAAATGGTTCAAAGATATAAACAGTTATCTTGTTTCCAAAAATTTAATCATTAATGACCCTTCAAGAATTTACAATGGCGACGAATCCGTTTTCAGATTTGCCCAGAAACTGGCAAAGTTTTTGCTAGAAAAGGCGCGAAAAATGTTTATTCTGTGGAAAAGGGATCATCTAAGGAAAGCATCACTGTCATGTTTTCGTTTTCTGCATCCGGAATAATTTGTCCACCTATGATCATTTATCCTTACAAGCGAATTCCAGAAAAAATAAGCCAGACTGTCAGAGATCCTGATTGGGGCATTGGAAGATCCGATAATGGGTGATGACGGCAGAAACGTTTTATGATTATGTGAAAAATGTATTCCATCCATTCTTGCTAAAAAATAATATACAGTTTCCTGTGTTATTATATTTGGATGGACATAAGTCTCATTTAACTTATGAGTTAAGTAGACTTTGCAATGAACTGAACATTGAAGTTATAGCCTTATATCCGAATGCAACCCGAATTCTTCAGCCTTGTGATGTTGCAGTATTCAGGCCCGTAAAAGTGGGATGGAAAAAGGCCATCAGAGAATTTTACGAACAAAATCCTGGAGAAGTTGTAAATAAAATGACATTTGCTCCACTATTGGAAAAAGTAGTGGTGAATAATATTAAGAGGGACACTTTAGTTAATGGATTTCGTGTGTGTGGTTTATTCCCTTTTAATCCAGATGCAGTTGATTACAGCAAATGTTTGGGAAATAAAAAAGAGCGTCCTGAGGTAATATTATAAAAACTTTTTTATTTACCTATAAGCTAATAACACATTTTTAGGTAAAAAAGCTACTCCCTCGTATGGACCATACAACATTCGTCAGTTTGGCTGGAGAAGATTTAATCAAAAGATTTCAATCTTTTGATGATCTTTTGGTTAAGGAAGGCATTACTGAAGAATTTTTGACTTTATACAAAATATGGAATTATTTTAAAAAACCTGATTCGTGGCCAGATAATAAAAAAATTGACTTGGATATGAGAGATGTGCCAGGATCATTCAATAATCAAGTATCGAACTCGACTGAGACTGAACCTGGACTAGATCCACCTAATATTGCACTTGTGCAACCTTCAGGTGCATCAGAAATTAAAATAAATTTGGATGCTGAATTAAATACATCTGAAAATCAAGTTTCAAAAGACCAAAAAATTAATATAACACAAAATATTGTCATAAAACCTGGTAAAGACATTATCTATAGTTTGCCATCTACTAGTAAAAGTATAGGTGACTACTTAATAGTTCCAGAAAAATCAACAAGAAAGAAAAAACGTAATACCAAAAGAGTTTCATTTGCTATAACATCAAGAGAGTATCAAGAGAGTTTTGAAAAGAAACGTGCCTTAAAATTAGAGTTAGAAAATGAGAAATTGGAGAGAAAACGAAAAAGAGAAAGAGTGCAGCAGCAAAAGCTTTAAAAAATACTGCCCGAGATACCGACAAAATAATTCATGTTTTCTGTGCAAGATTCGAACAGTAAAAAATAATTACCTAACATGTAATAGCTGCAAGAAAAGAATTCATCGACGGTGTGTTCCGAAAAAATATAACGTTCATGTTCCTGAAAAAGATGATGAGGATTTATTCATGTGTCATATGTGTTACACTGAGGAAAGCGATGATGGCGTTATTTCAGAAATAGAAAGTGAAGAAGACGGCGAAATATATAATGAAAAAGAACTTGACAATAAAATGTGTAAAAAATTTAAAAAAATAGAAAGCGAAGAGGATATCGAAATAGATTATCAAACAGAATCCAACTTTAAAATACGCGAGGAGCCGAAAAAAATAGAAAGCAATAATTATTACTCCGATCAAGAACCAAAAGAAATTTGACAATAAAAAAGATAATGAAATAAATGCTCAGAAAAATGACAGCAATTTGTGCGACGAACCAAAACAAATAGAAAGTAGCCAATGTAATGAAACCAACAACAAAGTTTATAAAAACCCGAGAGAAATAGAAAATGGAGAAGGAATCGGAACAGACCATCAAATAAGAATTAAGAGCAAAATGTGTGAGAATTCAAAAATGGCAAGTGAAGAAGAATTTGAAGATTATGGAACAAAATTGGCCATATGTTAGAAAATAATTCAAATGACGACATGGACGTCGAAGAACTTTTTAATCTGTACCAAAATGAAATGAAAAAATATAAGTGATTTATAGTACCTAGGTAGATTTAATAAAAGTTTTTGAACATTGATTTCATATTTTTATTTGTTTTTAATCATTACTTTGACAGTGTCCAATAACTGAAAATTATGTGTCCAATAATTGAATTTTTGTCCAATAACTAACTTTTTCGTAACCGTTCAGGTCTTTTCAAGTTTTCTAAAAAATCTGTTATATTAGAAATATTTAAAACCCGTTAACTTAAAATATCATATATGTATACTATGATGTGGCATAGCCGAATAATATCCGTTGAAAATTACACCAGCGGCAGCGACTTGAAATTGAAAAAAAGCTTAACTGTCCAATAACTGGTATGTTTACCCTACCTGGTGGAAAGGAAGAAACACAACACTATAACCCTTTGCACCGCTTTCTGATATGAAATGACGACGTGATTTCCCTAGACCGGCTTTCTGCCAAAATGATGCGAGATTATTATCTTGTGATCTCTTTGATCAATTAGATAAAGGAAGCAATTAAACATTCGAAAATATTTATTGCGTATTTTTAAAATCTTATACAGGGTTGTATAAAACTTACTGCTTTATGAATTAAATTAAATTTAAAAAATTAAAGGATTTTGAAGCGTTACTGAATTCATCATTTAAATTAATATTAACAGGAGTTTTTTCGAAGGCGCCAGTAAAAACACCTCAGAAGTACCTTCAAACATATACTACGTAGATATAACACTGTCTATATGTTAAAATTTGATTTAATTTTTAATGAAAAATTTTAAACTCACTTGATCAAAATACTTGAGCACACTTACATTAATTTTTTTTCAGAATACATTGGGGTATTTGATATATTTTAATTGTTAAAAAACAAATTATAATGAAAACATAAAATATTGTAGTCAACTTTTATAAAGCCCTGTACAAAATTCCATATTACAACGTCATACAAAGATCATTCGTAGTGAAATAAAGTTTTTAATTCGCACGATAACCGATTCGATTCAAGAGCCAACCAATAAAATATCTAAATAATCATACTGAAAATATACTCATACTGAGAAATACATAAATAATCATACTGAATATATGAATATATATGGAGTATGAATCACTGACATACAATTTTTTGTCGCTATTTACTAAATGTATGAAAAAGAAACGGTGAACTAAAAATAATTTATGCACAGACAGTGAACTGAAACATGTGCCATGCAAGTTCAATGCAATGATTAAAAAGCAATTGCTTACCAACATAATCGTTAGCGTCCCCTTCAAGTGTAATTTTAACACCTTTGGCTAAAAATGCTCCAAAACTTTGTCCAGCTGATCCTGTCAGTTTGATATTTATTTCACTGCCGTCTGGTAAACCATTTTCATTGTATTTACTAAAAAACATAAGATCTTTGTTCATTTTTCTTTAATTTTGGTATCTGACAATGGTTAATACAATGGATGGATGCCCGTATTATTTTCATACAAATATTTGATTTCTGGCACCCTCACGAGTAAGACTAGTTAAAGTGCCTGGTTATGGTTGTTACGTTTATATTTTGTGCAACAACAACTTTGTCATAAATATAATATAAAATGTTTGATGAACTAGTCTATCATTTCTTTTGTGAATTGTCAGTTTACTTACAATATTATCAGTCTGGCCAATCCATATCTTAGTGATATTAAATATTAATTAAGACATTATTTTATGCGTATATGGATACTACGTGTAGGCAACGCCATACCTCTTTAGTGATTTATTAAATGAGCCGTTGTTAAATTAGAGAAAAGAAAAGGGAAGAGTTTTCTTCCGCAGTAACGAAGCGGACATTTTATTGTGTTCATGGGAGATAGTGCTGAGCGACCATTTTTGAAAAGAGCGTGTTAGCAAATACCCTGGTTTAATCTAACCTGGTACTGAGGAATTTTATTTCGCACCCCTCTCTAAGGACTATCTACAGTGTGTAGTGTTCCTAGGTCAGCCTATCCAAAAATGTATTTGTCGTCTCATGTTGGTTTTGTGTCTCGTTAACGTTCCTGACCTATATGGAAACTTGGGAGAAGAAACAAGAAATACTTGTGACTCGTTTGGAAAAAATATAAAACTGTTTTGGATGGGCTGGAGTCAATAAAAGGGGCTATTTGTTAACTATTTTTTACTCGAGCTTTCAATTGTGTTTACAATTATTATCAAGAGCTGCTAAAAAATACAAAATATCTTACAAAGTTGAACTAGAAATAAAAAATTTTGTTAACTCACCAAATAAAATTAGTTTGGTATATAAAAATGCTGCTAACATATTACAAAAAATATTAATAAAAAAATGTTTTATTCTAATAAATGTTTCTCTGAAATTTTAATATAATTTTGACAAAGTTTCTTAACACAAAAACAATTGAATTTGTAAATAAAATTGAATAGTTACAATTATAAATAAGCCTCAATGGCATAAATACCAACTTAAAATTTTTATTTAAAAATTGAGATGCCTGAAAAAATGTAACAAATATATGGAAAATTAAATCAAAATGTGATATTTTACTGATTTCATATATAAACTACATAGAAATAATATAATTATAAATTTTTCTTAGATTTTGAATTTCTGAAATTTTGTTTAAATTATAATCACTTTTGTTAATATAAACAATTTCCAAAAAAGTTCTTTTGAATTTATTACTTTTACTACATAAAATTTTAATATTATCAAAATCCATAATATGGTCTTTGTCGATTACATACTCTGCCAAAGCACAAGATGGTGTCTTAATTCAGCAATCACTTTTGTGAGAAATAATGCGATTTGAGACATTTCTTCCGGTTTCACCAACATACTCAGCTTCACACTGAGTACAACTAATGCTGTATACTACATTTGTTTTATCTAATTTGTCTATAGGATACTTAGTTTTGGAATATAAAGATGAAATGGTTTTGATGTTCTTTGTTGCTATTTTTATATTGTCAATAACCCTTAGTGTTTGTATTAATTTAGGTGTTAATGATGGTATAAAAGGTGAATGATAATAGATGTTCTGATTGTTGGATACAATGTTCTGAGGTTTAGCAAAAAATGGCGTTAAGTTATTTATATTAAAAAAATTAGAAAAAAGCATCCTATGTAGCATATCTGAAGGATAAGAGTTTTCAATTAAAATATTTTTTAACAATTGTAATACTGATATTAAGATCTATCATATCATATATTGTTTAGTATGTTAAATATCTACTGCAACATACTAAACAATATATGATATGATAGATCTTAATATCAGTATTACAATAACTGACTACGTACCATCAATTACATTTTATAGATCAATTTACCATGTTTCTGATTCTTTCTTAATCCTCTAATTTTCCACCTTATTCGCTCCGTGCGTGACCATGGTAGGGGTACATTGAAACGATGCCAGCGTGCGTAGCGGCGAAATATGACAAAATTGGAATATTGGACAAAATATTTTTACGCATAAGTTTTATCAAAAATGTGTGCAAATACATGTTGCGTATTTAATTGTGCTAATAATAGCAAAAACAGTGAGTGTAGTTTTTATAGGTTCCCAAAAATTACATATAAATTAGAGAAAAGAAAAAGATAAATTCCTGCTATTAATATGAAAAAGTAAATATCACATAATTTCATTTTTAAGCAATTCAAATAGGAAAAATTTAAATAATTTACCTTGAATGATATTTCATAAGGCTTCAAGCTAACTACAGATGACTTTAGCTTTTATATCATAACTTTTACTATTATTGTTTTTAATTATATGCTCTTGCGTGAAAAACTTGATTTGCCAGTACTAGATTTTTCCCTTTTTTTTACATTTGGAGTTGAAAAAATATATTATGATGAATTTTGAGAAACCCAGTTTTTAATACTACATTTATTTTGTACATAAACTGAAAAAATATAGTTAAAAAACTAATTTATTAATAATTGTCAATTTCGCATGTATTTAATAACGTCAAACATATGTCATATGTTTAAGCTGAAAATTGGGACTCCAAAATTGTGAGAAGAAGGCGGTAGGTGTCGATTTGTAACGATGTCGTCATCGTTCAACAGTTTGAACCGTGGGAGTGTCAAGGTTGGCGCAACCACCTCTTCAGCGAGATGGTGAGTGGGATTCGGAGCGGCTATTTAAGGCGTGTGAGTAGCGGAATTGGTCAGTCTCAAGTCAGAATCAACTCTCTCATCCATCGGGCCATTTCGATTTCTGAACCCGATAACCTTAGAGAAGAACTTGGCCATCTGCAAAAAACCCTTGTCGCCAACGGTTACTCCAAGTCCACAATTCAAAATATTACACACCGACATCTACATCCCCCTTTACACCCTAGAACGACAAATTCAGAATCTTCGGGTAATACTCCTGTGGCTTTTCTTCCGTATATTCGAAATGTCACTGATAGGATTGGCAAAATTCTTCGCAAAGAAGGTATCAGGACTACTTTTCGACCACCCAAGAAAATCTCACAATATCTACCCTCTCCTAAGGACCCATTACCGCCCCTATCTTTCTGTGGTGTCTATTCTATTCCTTGTTCATGTGGACATGTGTATATTGGCGAAACTGGTCGTTCCGTCAAAAATCGGATTCAAGAGCATCAAAGATGCATTCGATCAGGTCTTTTCTCCCATTCTGCAGTTGCAGAACACTGCCAAGAAACCGGTCATTCCATATTGTTCGAAAAAACCCATATTATTTCTAAGAGCCCCTTCTTTTATTCCAGGAAAATCCGGGAATCTCTAGAGATCCGAAAAAATCCCCATAATATCAATCGAGAGGAAGGATACTACTTGTCTCCCATCTGGAATCTAAGTCTAGAGCCGCCATCCGGTCCCGCTACCACGATGCAGCCACATGATTGGCCAGCGCGCGCTTCTTGACGTTCGCGCCACGAAGTGTGCCGATACGTCCCGACACGACTATAGGCACCGCGACTATAAATAGAGCGGTAGCGGAGTAATCGTCGGATTCACTCCCCGCCTCTCGACGCGTTAGTGTTCTGAGCTGTTGGACGTGAATCCCTGTCCTGGCATTTGGTTTTCACCTCTGGCTGCGTTGAGTAGTTGAGTTACTGTGACCAAATGCCCATCTTGGTAGTTAGTATTCGCCTCTGGTTGCGTTGAGTAACTGAGTTACCGTTGCTAACTACCCATCTTCCTGTCTTTTGTTTTCTTTTTCTTTGTTCTCCTGAAGAAGCTACATACAATTGTAGCGAAACGTCGAGATGAACCCACTTTTGGGTCACTCACAAATGACACGGTCCAAACCCGGAAGACGAATAAACTAGAAGAATACAAAGCTTGAGGAATACGAGAAGACGAAAAGACCCGATCAAATCAGAGTTACCGTGGAAACTGGAGACGTACGGACCAAGCAGAGTACGATACCAAAACGACATGCTTTAGATGCAAGATGCCAGATCACAGCCGTAAAAACTGCAAAAACTCATGGAAAAAGTTTTGTTCGCGTTGCGGTAGAGAAGGGGTTTACAGCAGCGACTGCTGTTTCAGGCGTCAGGGAAACGAATTACAGACTGGAGAAACAAGGAATCGTCCCAGTCTGTAAAGCAAGATTCGACTCCATTCGTTTTCGCCGTTACACATCCAGCAAGCAATGACATTCGAGTGTTCGCATCACTGAAAATAGGGCCAAGAACATACAGAGCGCTCATCGATACAGGAACCACTAAAAATTACGTCGGGGATAGAATAGCTCAGACATACAAGGACTCCCTAGATAGCTACAGCGGGAGAACAAGACTAGCAAATGGAGCTTAAAAGAAGTTAACAATTGAATGCGAGATCGATACGTTACAAACCCGACAAACATTCATAGTAATGCCAGGGTTGACGGAAGATGCCTTACTAGGAGTGAAATTCCTCAGGAACCATTCTATCGAACTTATTCGATAAACATACGACCAAACAATACTTACAACATCAAGAAGAGGCATGTAATACTCTAAAAGACTCCACTAAAAATACAGAGTTAGAAAGGTACCTAAGAAAAGAACTAAGGGAGTTTGAGAACATAACGGGACCTACCAACTTAAAAAAACACGAAATAAAATTGAAGACAAAGTGCGATTTAGTCAAAGAGCCTTATAGGCGGCACAATCCCGCAATACTGCAGATCATCAACCAAGAGGTGGACAAGATGTTAAAAGAAGGAACCATCGAACCCTCCACAAGTGGTTGGAGGTCACCGATTGTACTAGTTAGGAAAAAGGATAACTCGTACAGGTTTTGCATTGACTTTAGAAAAGTCAACGAACTATCAGATAAGGATGCATATCCGTTACCCAGAATATCGGAAATTCTGGATAGACTCAAAGAAGCAAATTTTATATCATTTGAAACAGGGATATTTTCAA